TTAAATAAATGTATTTATAAATTTAATAAATTAATTTTTCAATTTTAATTTCAATAAATTTACAAGTTAGTTGAATTTTAAATTGAATTGAATTTTGAATTGAATTGAATTGAATTGAATTGAATTGAATTTTAAATTGAATGGAATTTTGAATTGGATTAAATTGAATTTTGAATTGAATTGAATTGAATTGAACTTTAAATTGAACTGAATTTTGAATTGAATTGAATTTTGAATTGAATTGAATTGAATTGAATTGAATTGAATTGAATTGAATTGAATTGAATTGAATTTTAAATTGAATTGAACGTTAAATTTTTATCGTTAAATTTTAAAGACAATAATGAACGCACTAACAAATTTAATTAATAAAATTTTTGATATATCCAAAATTCTACATACAAGAAAATAAATATTGATAAAAATTACTTTTACGTTTGAACAATTGAAATTTAAATTTATAGTATCAATTGAAAGAGATTAATTTAAGCTTGCGATAGGATAAATTATTGCTTGGATAAACCATTACTTTTAAGTAAACCTTGAAAATTGTATTGCAACAGTTAAAACGTTAAAAATCAATACTTCAGTTCTCGTTAATGATTGCAGATGTGATGAATATTTAATTGGAATATATTCTCTTTAGAATATTTCTCAACTATTAATTATCCAAGAGAATGTAATTTTAATGATTGTAGATACTTTAATGAACGTTTCACTGTAAAATTCACCGAAAGTCTTTATCATAAATTTTTATGCACCGAGAAATGCCTTTAGAATTATTTGTGAAAGAAAAATTAATTTTAAACTGTTGTACTGAAAAATTAATTATAAACTGTTGTAAAATTTCTTATAGTTAACTCGTCGAAATATTGCCTTTTATTAAAATTTCATAAATTCCCTAATTTAATAAACTTGTCAGCTTAAATTACTAATTTAATTTATAAATTGAATATACTTTAATTATGAATTTTTTATAATTTAACCTAAAGTCCATCAAATTGAATAAATAAATACTATTTTACATATAGTATTTACAAAAGGAAAATTACAAAATTATGCAATGTTATGTCCATTCACAAATGCACACTGTTACGGAGTTTATTAAAATTCCCCACCATGATATCTCAACGAAAATGCAATTTAATTAACTTGTCAGTACGAACGAATTAACACACAATATTATATAAATCTGCCTGGAATTTCGTCCTAAAATCCACCCCGAACAAAACAAATTAAAGTGCAAATGAACATTGAATGCTGCCTCTCGAATTTCTCAAGAAAATCGAAGCGTAAATGTGTTTCCTGACACAACTGTTGTAAAGAATATCGTTAAAAGACAGCGATTTAATCGCGTTTAAACGTCACGACGTTAGCTCTCTTCCGAAAACGATAAAACGTTGGTTAATAGTTAACGACAATAAAAGAAGCGACGAACAATAATTACTCTTAATCGCGTTTGTTTCTCGACGAATTCACTCGGTTCTTTCCCCGGTAATTTATCGCCGTTTCACGAACCTCGCGAAACGTTTCAATTATTGTGCTAACTATTTACACGCGTAACCGATCCGATAATTAGTTCGCCTGCGATAATCCTCAACAAAGGGAACCGCATCCTTCGTTTAAAATTGATCCGATGTGGGGCAAACTGATAATCAATTTCGAAACTGTGTAATCAAACGAGCGGCAAGTGTTTCAATCTTAATTGCTTCACACGTCCCACGGCGATTTCTATCATGAATGTATCAAGACGAATCAAAACACGATTTCCAGTAACCTAGATACGTCAAACTCTGGCTCGAGTTAATTCCTTCTTACTTTGCATAGCTGATAGCTGGATTTTGTCAAACAAAGTTCTAGATTTCGTCTTTTCATCGAGATTTCGTCTGGATTTCATCTGGACTTTATCTAGATTTCAGCTAGATTTCATCTGGATTTTGTCTAGATTTCATCTAAATTTCGTCTGGATTTCAGCTAGATTTCATCTGGATTTTATCTAGATTTTATCTAAATTTCGTCTGGATTTTATCTAGATTTCATCTAAATTTCGTCCGGATTTCATCTGGATTTTATCTAGATTTGATCTAAATTTCATCTGGATTTCATCTGGATTTTATCTAGATTTTATCTAAATTTCATCTAAATTTCATCTAGATTTCATCTGGATTTTATCTAGATTTCATCTAAATTTCATCTAGACTTCATCTGGATTTTTGTTTACATTTCATCTAAATTTCATCTGGATTTTTGTCTAGATTTCATCTAAGTTTCATCTAGATTTCATCTGGATTTTATCTTTAAAACCTAACCTAACTTAACTTGTTTTTATGTTTACAGAATATTTGCCATTTTACAATGTGAAATAATCTTTGGAACAATTTTTAAATGCATATTTATCCATTTACTGTTTTCTTCTTTTAGAGGAATTCTTTTTTTCATCTGAAGAAGTCGTTCAACAAAAGTTAGGTTAGGTCTCTGTTACTGACTGACAGCTACTTAACAAGTATTTCATGAAAAGCTTCTTAATAAATATAACGAAAGAGATCCATTTGTTCAAAACACAATGCATAAAAATGATGAATAATTGACATAGATGATGATCATTACAAATAGATAATTGATTGATAAAAAAAATTCCCACGTTTAAATTAAACCTATTTATATGAACTAAATTTTAAATACCTAAAATATGAAGTTTACCAAATGACTAAAAATTCACAAAGTTGAGAATCCATAAAAGTAGAAGCCGACATATCCACTAAAGGAATTGAAGCGTAATCCAAGGAACGTTCTCAGTGTGACATAATCGCAAGACGAATGATACCCATCTCGAGGATCCTTTTTCAGGTTCAAACGTCCGTCGCAGTTGGCTCGATTCACGCACGCATGCACCCGTTCGATCGGGAAAGCATGGATGATTACGAGTGCAAAGGGTGTATCGAAGAGAGCTAACATCGTACGGTTCCCTAGGGAATACGCGGGGTAGAGTACTGTGCGTGTCACACGAGATTATTGGCGGGACGATGCAGGGACTCAGAGTTTTTATAGAGACTCTTTAGTTAGTAGTCATGTTAGTGATGTCGATATTTTCTGGGAACGTTGTTGGTTAAGGTGAATGTAAAATTTAATTTGAGGTTAGGTTTAGGTTTTATTAACTTCAAGGTTATGTTAACTTCAAGGCTACGTTAATGTCAAGGTTGTATTAATTTCAAAGTTAAATTAACTTCAAGATTAGATTGACTTCAAGGTTATATTAACCTCAAGATAACATTAACTTCAAGGTAACATTAACTTCAAGATTAAATTAACATCAAGTTCATGTTAACCACAAAGTTGAATTACCCTCAAGGTAACATTAACTCTAGATTTAATTAACATCAAGTTTGTATTAACTTCAAAGTTGAATTAACTTCAAGGTAACATTAACTTCGAGATTAAATTCACATGAAGCTTATGTTAACTTCAAAGTTGACTTAACTTCAAGGTAACATTAACTTCGATATTAAATTAATATAATGTTTGTGTTAACTTCAAAGTTGACTTAACTTCAAGGTAACATTAACTTCGAGATTAAATTAATATAATGTTTATGTTAACTTCAAAGTTGAATTAACTTCAAGGTAACATTAACTTCAAGATTAAATAACCTCAAGTTTATGTTAACTTCAAAATTACATTAACTTCAACGTAACAGTAATTTCAACATAACAATAGCCGCGAAGTAACAGTAACGTTAACGTAATATTAACGTCAACGTAACGTTAACTTCAAAGTTACATTAACTTCATCGTAACGTTAACTTCAAAATTATATTAATTTCAACGTAACAATAACGTCGACGTAACAGTAACTTCAACATAACAATAACGTTAACATAACAGTATCTTCAACGTAACAATAACTTCAAAGTTACATTAACTTCAACATAACAATAACTTCAACGTAACAATAACGTCAACATAACAGTAACGTTAACACAAAAATAACGTCAACATAATAACTTCAACACAGTAGCACCTTGCAAGTACCATTAACTCCGACCTAACAATAACGTAAACCTGAACCAGTTTCAACATTGTTGATATCGGATATCGATATGACATTCCCCAAATGATAAAAATGCAAATGTAGATCAAACTTTTACAATTTAAACGAACTTTGTCAAACAAAGTTGAAATCTGATCGATTATGCAACGAATAGATGTCACGTCCCTTTTGCGAGTAAACTTGTGTGAAAAGCTGCTGCATGTATCTCACAAGAAGACTCACGAAAAGAATGTGGATGTTGATATATGCAGAAAATCTTAACAGCTACGATATATTATTATTCGGCGTTGAAAAGATTATAGACGTTGTTCTAATATAGATGGTGCTCTTAATATTTCAGTATGAGGTAACTGCAGTATGCAAAATAAATTATAAACTGAATTATAAAATTATGAAGCTGAATTATGAAATTACGAAGTTAAATTATTAAACTAATTTTAAAATATTATGTATGTATATATTGCATTATGTAAAAAATACTGAACTATAAAATTATGAAACTTCACATGAAACCACAAAGTTAAATTATGAAACTAATTTTAAAATATTACATATGTATATATTGCAATATGTAAAAAATACCGAATTATAAAATTATGAAACTTAATATGAAACAGTACATATTTTCATTTCAATATATGAAATACACTAAATTATAAAATAAAAAAACTTACGTATGACACTATTAACGAGTACGTAACCATTCCAGTATACAAAACATCCCAAATAACGAAATTATAGAACAAATCACGAAACAGTACATAATACATTAGAGTAAATGAAGTACACACAATAATGAAATTACGAAACTGAACAAAGACGAATGGCGTGTCTTTCATGTCCCTGCGTCCGGCGGGACTTCTCGTGTGAGAGGCGCACAGTACCACTGGACGTTTGTACACACAGAAAGAAGACAGAGGGACAAATAGCAAAGAAAAAGATGCTGAACATACCGATGCCGTTCGCCTGGGACGACTGTAGTTGCACGGCGACGCTGAAGCCGCGTAACTTCACCGGGGCAGAATTCTCCTTGCCCGCGAGCAGGGCGCATTGCGGCTTTAGATCACGATGAATTATGTCGTTCTCGTGGCAGTAGCGCAGCGCCTCCAGGATCTGTCGCATATAATGGCTGGAAAACGAAAGGTGCTGTATTAAGCTACGATGCTCCCTGAGGACTCGAGACCCGCGGAAACAAACGACCGTTGTCCTATAAACACGGCGATGAAAGGTTCAAGTTTTATGGTGAACAGATTCTTAGATGAGAATGGGGAGGTCTTGATGATCGGGCTTTGTGACGGGGTGATGATGTGGGACAATGTACCGATGTCAACGCAGGAGTTGGCGTGATAGCTTGACATATTTGGAAGGTGTACAATTGGTCAGAATAGAAAAATGGACGATTCGCAGTTATTTTCGGTGAGGTATTGGCTTTAACGATCGCACACCAATTATTATACTTATCAGGTTCCAACCTTCCAAAGTTCCAACTTTCCAAAATTCCAACCTTCCAAAGTTGCAACCTTACAAGATTTTAATCTTCCAAAGTGCCAACATTGGAAAGTTCTATCTTTCTCAAATCCCAACATTCCCGGGATCCAACCTTCCAAAGTTCCAACCTTTCAAAGTTCCAACCTTCCAAAGTTAGAACCTTGCAAAATTTTAACCTTCCAAAGTCCCAACTTTCCCAGGATCTAACCTTCCAAAGTTCTAAACTTTCAAAGTTCTAATCTTCCAAAGTTCCAACATTCCCAAGATCTAACCTCTCAAAGTTTCAACCTTCTAAAGTTCTAACCTTTCAAAGTCCCAACTTTCCTAGGATCTAACCTTCCAAAGTCCCAACTTTCCTAGAATCTAACGCTCCAAAGTTACAACCTTGCAAAGTTTTAACATTCCAAAGTTGCAACTTTTCCAAGATCCAACATTCCTATGTTCCAACCTTCCAAAGTTACAACCTTGCAAAATTTTAGTCTACGGAAGTCCCAACATTACAAAGTTTTAACCTTCCAAAGTTCCAACTTTCCCAGGATCCAACATTCCAAAGTCTTAACCTTGTAAAGTCCTAACCTTGCCAAATTTTAACCTTCCAAAGTCCCAACATTACAATATTTTCACATTACAAAGTTCCAACCTTCCTAAGTTCGAATTATCCAAAGATTTAACCTTCCAAAATTACTAACTTCTAATATTATAACCTTCCACACTTTCAACTTTCTCAAATTTCATCTTTCTCAAGTTCCAACCTTCCAAAGTTCTTACATTCCAAAGCCTTAATCTTGCAAAGATTTGACCATCCAAAGTTCTAACATTTCAAAGTCTTAACTTTCCAAAGTCCCACCACTCCAACGTTCCAATCTTCCAAAGTTCTAACCTTCTAAAGTTCCAACTTCTGATATTCCTAACCTTCCAAGGATCCGACCTCCCAAAGTTCCAACCTTCCAAAGTCCCAACCATGCAATATTTCAACCTTCCAAAGTACTCATCTTCTAAAGTTTGAATCATCCGAAGGTTCAATCTTTCAAAGTTCCAACCTTCCGCTGTTCCAACTTTCCAAAGTCCCAACCTTCCCTATGTTCCAACCTTCAAAAGTCCCAACCTTGCAAAATTCTAACCTTCCAAAGTCCCCACTTTCCAAAGTTTGAATCACCCAAAGTTTCAACTTTCCAATGTCTCAACGTTCCTGAATTCCAATTTTTGAAAGTCCTAACCTTTGCACATTTCGATCATTCTGAATTCGATCATTCAACCTTCTTAACTTTCGATCTTCCAAATTCCAAAGCTACGAATATTCGAAATTTCTAAAACTAAAGCTCCATATTTCGAAACGTACATCTTCTCTAAACTTCGAATCACCTTATTCCAAAGCTTCCTAACCTCCAAATGATAGTCGGCGAACGTCTTGAGAGTGAATGAGATAGTGCTACATGCGTTCAGCAGTTGTTATTGTCATTACTATTCTTGTTTGCCGAAATGTAACTGGAAGTGCCCACGGTGGGAAGCATTTTTTTATTTTGGGTCACGCGCCAACTCGTGCGTTGACATCTGTATATTTACTGTTGGGAACTTCAAGTGTAACGACAGAAAGGCTAAAAAATTTGTCATTTTTAAAACGTGAGATGAAAAGTTCTAGTTTTATTGCGTTGTTGAAGATTGCTGTTAGATGAGCAATAGGGATTTGTTGATACCATGCTTTATGATACATATAAGGTTAAGGTTAGAGGGAAAGGGTTACTGATACATAATAACAGAAAACTCGTCAAAAATACTAATTCATTATTCCTTGCCTAAAATGTCAAACATCCATTAAAAACCAACAAATAATAGCAACTTACATATTACAAATGAAATGAACTATTTTATAAGTAATATTAATTTTAATAACTGACAAGGGACATCACCAAGGTGTCACACGCGGATTTTAATGAAATTGACATATGTTGTAGCTTTTTAAAAATCATTTGACACGTATTTTTTTATATCTGCGGACATCCATGTTGAGGGGGTGAAAATAGCCCTCAAAGTTGGGGGTTAAAAACACATTTTCTTTAATATCTCGGAAACTAGAGGGAGTAGGAAGGTAAATTTTTTTTTAAATTGTGTAGTTTTTAGTCAGGAATTTAGTTAGTGTCAAAAATTTCGGGAGAAATTATTTATTTAAATAATATATTAAAAAAATGCACTTTTTTTTCAATTTTT